ATAATGTACAGGACATTCACCGTCAAGCTTAGAACATACTGTACAATGTACATGTACCATATTTATCTATTAACATGATTTACTAGATACATCAAGTCCATGCTATTAAGTTTACTTTACTCTCGTACCTATCCTACTTTACCGTTTATGACTATACCTATACTGTTCACGCACGTGCTAAAATTGATATTTTCTCTTTGCATTAAGGGAAATCACAGCTTTGTATTGACTACATGCTGAATTTCATATTCTAAGCTACATGAAATTAATGCTAATTTAGGAAAATGTCAATAAGTAGTCGTAGTCAAATCAAGTAACGAAATGCTCCAAAAAGCACAACACAAACGAAAGTCACCATTAATTTAGAAATCAATAAAGTTATTTTCCAGCTTTAGCGCACATACGTAGGCCATTCAGATGTACGCATAGCAGCCATGAGATCTAATTTAAGAGGCAGATTAGCTAATTTTATCTTTAGAACTATTACAACAAGTATCCCATCAAACATTTAATAGCTCATTATAGGATAAACCCCCGTTTCAGACTATTTGCAGTGAAACCTATCGATTATTTCAACACCTAATTTATAAACATCATGTCCAAACTATCGTTATGCTTGTGAAGACACGCAAAAATTTTATCTCAAAATTAAGGTATCAATAATAATACTATTTGTAATTTTGTTATAATTTTATTTTAATAGAACTTGTTTATAAATGCTGATTTTTAATATCAACTTTTTCAACAAAATGAAAGACTTCTTATTATTGTCAAAGACTTGCTTCTATCTATCAATAAACATACTTAGCCGCACTATCTGTACACAAATGGCATAAAGTAGTAATTACTAATTTAAATTAAACAGTATCGTAAATTGAAAAATGAATTTCGGTATGGTGTTATATATAATAATTGTTTGGTTTAAAAATACATCAATACTGTATTTTATATTTACTTTACATTCTCTCTACAATTTTGTAACCAAAATATAGACTGTTAGTTGATATTCTATACCGTCATTGATCAATGAAGATGTTATGGTTTTAATCACTGCTGTAATTATACTATGTGTTACCTTAATTTCATACTTGTTGTTGGAGAGGATATAAATATACTACAATGATCACTATCATCCCTATCCTAGAGAACAACTTTCTTGTATTACGTGTATTGATCAATATCCTTTGCTATTTGCATAACATGATAATCAACCAGTTAATAAGCCTTTCCAATAGCAGATATTGAATATAAAGGGGAGCATTATTGTATCCTATCGCTACGCTCAAATTCTACGTATTTCCTATAACCGAGAAGAATTTGTCATATCTGTAAAGTGATATTGAAAAGAAGATGAGCTATCTATTAATATAACGTTAATCAAATATAATTTCTTACAGTCATGACCATACCTATTTCTTCAATGACAATGTCCATTTATGAAGTGGATAAAGAAGTAAGCATTATAGTCGCTAATATTATAGACTAAAAACTTGATAATAGCCATACAAACTACATACTGAATGATAGCTTTATGAACAATTTTACTATTCATCCAAATCTACTAATAAAAGCTTTTATAGAATTCTATCGTAATGATTTAAAAAGAAAAGAGTAAAATTTTATTGAACTGTTCAAGTTGGAACTAATGCCGGTTACATGATGACAATAAAGGGGCAGGTCAGCAATTTTATTATTAACCGACTCTAAGAGAAAATTATATTAAACTATCATTCATGTTGGTTGCTTTCAATGAATCGTTAACTAGATAGGTGGCAACCTTGAGATCAGAAGAATAGACTATTTTAGAATCTAGAAAATAGCAGATTCTGTACTAACAATAGCAAAAAGAATAATACAATTCCTGCCTTATGCACACTAGGTATTTTATTGCTTTGATCAATAGCTTAAGACGACAAATCTATTCTCTAAATAATTATTTATTTGCTTTATACAATAAATAACATCTGGCTTCCTCTGTCTGTCTAATAACATTAACCAATTTGATGAAGTAGTTAACTAGATATTATCATATTTAGTAGTTGTACTAGACTGTTGTCCCATACAGCTAAAATTGTAAAGGACTAAGGTAGTATTCAATTTTTAAGCCATTGCGTAGACATGTCGAATATGTCGGGAAGCCATCTGCCATATTAAATTATATACATTCTTTTTTGACGCTATTCCATATCTTAATTTGCAGATATATATAAATTTTCTTGTAAAATTTTATTTTACTTCTTTACGAGCTGTCATTATTTCCTTCCTATTTTCTCCGGATCGGTTTATCTTTACTGTATATTGCATGATTACTTGATACAACAATTATTTGTTGACTCTTGTCTCTGCGCTGCCATATTCTAACAACTAAACTACTAAGGTAAAGTACTACTGAATGTTTATTCTTATTATCTCGTTCATTTTACGTTCCCTGCGAATACAGCAAGTATCACATAACTTTTACCAAGGCAATTACATCTACCTAATAACTATCTACAATATTACATCGAAATTTGCTTCGATTAGAAATGCTTGTTGACTTAAAATTCTATCAATATTACTATAGCTTATGCGATGGGGCCTTACATTAACATTTAAAGAGTCATTGGACTTTTAAACAAGCTAAATTTACTATTAAAATCGTTCATTAAAGCTCTTTTCCATGGTTATTCGTTAGCATCAACATTACTTTAAACCTTAAAAATGGCCAATTGAAATAAGTTTAATAAACTTACCTACGGTAGGTTGTAGTATGTATAAATTCTATGCATTACACTAAAAAAGGTAACAATCCATCCTAATGTTTGTTACAACTTTATGCTCAAACCCTTAAAATCGCATATAACAACATAGAAACATTGATATTTTTAATTGTATAATAAATACTATTACTTTAAAGTGAAGGACCTATCATTTCGTTAGAAAAATTCAGTGACTTAGCGAGTAATTTTGGTATCATTTTCTAATCTTAGAGGCTTAGATCAAATACAGCAAAAAACATTATTTATCGAATCCAACTAGAATATTTTTCGATAACAGCTTGCCTTAAAACCCCGCTTTTTTCTAAAGAGGTAAGAAAAATATTAACGTAATATTCTAGTTGATCAATGCTGATGTTATATTAATAGGCGTTATATAGACTAGCATTAAAACGATACCTTAATCTTAATACGTATTATACCGTACTTGTGCGTTTTAAAACTAATAAGGATAGCTTTTCAGTTATTTTTGCAAACGGATGTTGAATTTTAGACATTTGTCAGCTTACTTAAGAGAACTTCATATCTTCTCAAGTTAATGTGATCCTCTTCAAAATAAACATACTTGCAAAAGTTATCCATAATAAGTATGATACACGTATATGTGTAGGACGTGAAATATACTGTACAGCGGAGCTTCTATTAATTAAATACTACTACTTCTCTTACTAGAGTCATAAAGGTTTTGTCGAAATTATAACACTAACTGCAAAAGTTTTGGTTGTTATATCGTTTGTAAAATTTTTTTTATTAACATTATTAATAAAAATCTGACTTTAGGTTTATTTGTCGATAAATTTAAGCAGCTTATCACACTATTTTAAAGGGTATTTATAATAACTCCTTTTCTAGACCCCCACAACACTAAAGACTGTCCTGCAGTAAATCTTTGATAAATTACCCGTAAAGTTTGTCGAGAATTGACGGTAAAATTACTAATCATTTATTTATAATCAAAAGTATTCTATATATGAAGGTGGTATGAAGCAAATATGTATTGAAGATAAACGAAATAGGCATCTTTTAAGGAAGCGATGAAATTCTATTAAAGATCATATAAAGCTTATCCCGTAGCAGTTAGTAGCAACGCAGTAGAAATTTTTGCATAGATCTATCTAAAGTTTAGATCGAGAAAAAAAAGAAAAGCTTTTTCTAGTTGAAATTATTCAATTAATTTAAGTAATTTCCTATACTCACAGTAAGAATAATCTAAAGAAATTATGACTCTAATAATAGAGGCATAAAACCGATTGAAGATTTAAGCTACCGGTACTCGAGAATTGAACATTTTTATTTTATACCGAAGAATCTTTCATTTGCCTTAACATAGTTAAATCCTGTGCTATGAATCATTGAATTTAACTTCAGTAAAGAATCTAAAGACCATATACAATAATATAGTTGACATTTTTATGGATAGAGATACAATAGACAATTGTACCGTGCACTATACTATACGTATGTGAGAAAAATCTCGTTATTGATCCCTCTTTAAATTCTCCCTAATATCCTTCGAAAATACCCCAAGATTTATATACGTACTTTATATTCATGATCGATAAGTTTTGTTATCGTTTATTAATATGAATTTTAATATGCATATTGAAAAATAAGTAGTACGGGAATATTATTCAACCATGTTTATAATCCAATAAGCAGGAAAAATTTAAATTAATTTCAGGTCTTATTTTCCATTTTTAATGATTTATTAAAATTCTCCTTATAAAATTGTTTTCATAAGACTGTTTAGAAGCTTTTCTTTCATTTCTATAATTGGTTTATTTTAATAATATTTATTAGGTCACTTAATGAGTTTATCCTTCATTTTTATTAAAGTCTATTAAAGTGACATTTAACGTACAGTAGCCGAAAATTGGGCATTTATAAGATAATGATTTACTAAAAGGAAGGTGAAAATGGCAGTTATTACCTCACCCTTTCTTTAGCAAATTTCTTTAATTTTATGACTCCGGACTACTGCTGTACACCTATATGTGTCATTATCGAAGTTATAACTTTTCTTCCCGTAATGTTGGCATATATTATAGCTATAAATTTATTCGTTACTTTTTCCTTCATTAAAATTTAGCTCTAGCTACCCAACTGTTATTAAGCCAACTTAAAGTAAAGATTACTTTTATATTATTCCAAGGAGAAAAAAGAAAGATGGTAACAACTAGTCGTGATCATGTCGTCCGCCATGGTGATAAACACGACTCGATTTGTAAAAATGAACTCAATCAGGAAATTATTCATTCTTGGCATCCCGCAGATCATTCCAAAAATATTTACATTAAAGACGATGACCCATTAACCTTTTATCGAAGGCCAGCTCGTCGATCAACCGATGCTATTAGAGGTAGATATGGCTATACTCATGGCCATCATGCTTGGAAATTAAAATGGTTAACTCCACGAGGTAGCCATGCAGTAGCAGGTGTTGGCTCAAAAGAAGCCATACTACATTGTAAAGGTTACACAACATTAATTGAGCAAGACCCTAACGCTTGGGGCTGGGATATTACTAACAAGATTAGCTATAGTGCAGGAAAGAAATCATTAACTTGCTATCCGTCTATGGCTCTTGATTACCAAGCACCGAGTGAAGTTATAGTCTATCTGGATATGGAAAATGGAACATTAGCATTTGAAGCTGAGGGTAAATATCTTGGTATCTGTTGTACTGGGCTAGTTGGAAAATCTCTTTATCCAATGGTTAGCGAAGTCTATGGCAATGCAGAAGTTTCAATCATTTATCTTGGTAAGTTTACTGTCATTCTTGGTAACCTTAAATAAGTATTTAACAAAGTAATCCTAAAGCATTATGAACTATCCTGTTATTTCAGGATAGCTTTGATTAAGCTAATAATAATTCATATAGTATGTCGTTTAGTAAGGACATTAATTCATGAAGATATTCTATCCTCATAATTTACTCAAATTATTGATCATCAGGCAACCGTCGGCCAGGTCAAGAAATGGCCAATCTATATACATGGAATCCAGATGATTGTTCAGTTAATATTCATGTTCTGGACGATGATCTTCATGCTTGTCAGAGGCAGAAAGCAGTCCAATCAACTGATGCTATTCGATGTAATCGAAGCATAGAGAATGGTAGACATGTTTGGCAATTAACATGGCAAGGAGATTTAGGTTAGTATCTTTTCCGTTAATTTCTTGCTGAGTTCTATCTTAAAAATAGATTTTATGTCATCTGCGTCCTCTATTTGATCCTGAATAGCTTTATTATCAAGTTCAGTTTTGAACGTAATTATCCCTATCCCGAAAACGTGTTGGAGTGGTATCACTGTAAATTACTGCTACTAAATTTGAATTAACGAATCATAGTAGTTAGTTTCAATCTTTCTAGGCAATACATATAGCATACCCGATATCACAATCAATAGATTAAGTCTGTTGTGATAATAATTATGAATCAGTCATACTCCATATACGAAAACGTTAATTTACATACGTTATCTTTCGTAAATTATTAACCATTGCATGCATCATTATACGAGTAATGTGTATTTTGCTATGGTAAATCCATTTGTTATGTTAACACTACTGTCATTTTGTACTTCGTTTCTTTCTGCTAATGGCGATGATAAATTACATTTTATGATTGCTGTAATTTAAGGCTTCGATTTTCAAATCTGTTTCAGTCATTTATTAATCAATGATCAGCATGCACATACGTAAATCGAGTCTTCTAAAGTCTAGTCATTTTAATACCATATATTAAACATGTAATGAACATAGTGGAATTGATGAATTATTCTTGAGAAATGGTCGCAAATCTCTATTTGATGATATCAAATAAACATAGTATCACTATTTATCATGTAATCTTTTCTCTTTATAAAACATACCATACATATAAATTTTTACTTCAGTCCTTGTCTTTCAATAATGTTGCTAGTTCATGTTACTGTGAATCTATTTTGTTGATCAATTTTGAATCAAGAGTGGCCTATTTACTATCGGCTCTGGTATAGAGTAGTTCTAAGATATATTGAATCATTTTGATATAACGACCATAGATTGATCATGATTAATATTGCTTAAGGAAATGCTAAAGTAATATAGTTAAAGTTTTAATTTATTAACTAATCAAGTAATTCAGTTTCAAACAGAAATTGCTCTTAATTATTGGGATGAATTTTTAATTGATCCTATGTATGATTTTATACCTATATTTTTAGGATCTCATTCCGTTGCCGGTGTTGGTAACAAGAAAGAGTGTCTGCATTGTACAGGCTATACCAGCCTAATTGGTTGTAGTACTAATAGTTGGGGATGGAATATCAGCAAAAGAGTATTAATACATGCAAATATTGAACAAGGCCATTACCCGATGCTTAATCATTTGCATAACCAGAATCAAGATGGCGAAGATGGCAGTAACATATTAAATCAAGAATTATCTAGATTTAAGAAATTTTGCGTTATCTTAGATATGGATAGAGGAACTTTATCTTACGAAGTTAATGGTGTTAACCTAGGGATTGCCTTTCACGGACTACAAGGAAAAATTCTTTATCCTATGATATCAACAATTATTGGCGATTGTAAAGTAAGGATAGACTATCTTGGAGAACAGCCTGCAGGTAAATCTTTCTTCTAATAAATTTTATACGTTAGAATATTCTAATACTTGATTGCTACAACTTCTCCGTAAACTTTAAATGTAAAAGGAATCTGTAGTAATAGCAATATTGTGAAATGGTAAATATCAATGAAGCTAAAAAAGAGATTAATATTGACTGATTATCGCCTTTCTCTTAATATCTATTTGCCTTTATTTTTACTTTCAGCTTCGAATCCCCGAACTCCTTTACTTTTTTATTCTAGACATGGATTAAATGGCATGTTATCGTCCGATTTTACGATTGCTAGCCGTAAAAATGCAGTCAGTCAATTCGATGCTGCTACTTTTATGACAAATCGTCCTTTACAAGATAATGAATTATTTCAGTTAAGAATTGACAATGTTATGACAAGATGGAATGGGAACTTACAAATTGGTTTAACAACTGCATCACCAACCAGTTTACAATTCCCCCGCTCTTTAGTAGGAATACAACAATCTCCAAATTGGATTCTCAGCGATAAAAATCTTTATGTCCATGGTCAATGTCAAAATTACTGCCATCATCAAGGATTGCATTCTTTGAAGATGGGCGATTATTTTGGTATTAGTCGAAAGACAAATGGTCATGTTCATGCGTACATTAATGGCAATGACTTAGGTTAATTTCTCACATTTATGAAATAATCTATATTTATCGTACGTTAAAGCATAACTTACGGTAGTGGGGACTGAGATGGCATAAATTATTTTACGTTCATGTGGCATTTGAGATATATTTCAGAACGTAACTTTATGATTACATTTATCATAAAGTTCTGGTAAATTAGAAATTTTTAATGAGGAATCGTTATAAAAGTATAATTTACAAAGCGAATAGTAAACACGTTAACACTCTATTACTAAATCAAATCGAAAATTCTCGTACAACATTTGGCAATTATTACAATTCAATATGTAGTAGCTGCACATGATAATATTCACGCGAAGCTTATTAACTTGACCTAATAATATTGCTTATCGGAAGTAAATATTGATTGATGAGTTAAGTAGCTGTTGCTATGAAACATCATACCTTACTAATTTGTTATAGTATAGGTATAACTCAAATTAAATATGGCGTACTTATACTGGAGATTGTATCTATCTAAAGCAAAATACCGATTGATAATTATTAATTAGAGTAACAGTTAGGACAGAGAAATAGTTTATGTACTTGATTAACTATGGTGCCGCTGAAAAATCCGAGTTGACAAATTAATTAAATATAACTATGAACTACTTTACACTTTTAATGCATTTTCCAACGATACTGCTTATTTTGTCTTTCTAGGTGCGATAGCTACGGATGTTACTAATAACGTCTATGGCATTATTAATTTGTATGGTAACTGTGATTGTGCTACCATCGTGCCGGAAGGGAATGAAAATAGTAAGTTAATCCAAACCAGAGATATGGTTAACGATCGTAATAGAGGTTTTCCTTAGATATAGGTTGAAACTATAATGTAAATTATTAGATTAAATGTAAATGAAATAAAGAAACGCCTAGCGAATAATGTCTTTGCAACAATTACCGGTAGTATCTTTTTTATTACAATAAACATCTGCGATATTATTTAAAGATCTTTTATTCCCTATCAAACGTGCACGGATAGAAGTTTACCATAAATGTTCATTACTTTCTTTAATATCGTATTTGGTACTGTTCGAATAGACTAAAGTTTTATTTGCTTGATAGTACTTTAAACAGGGACTACTCAAGAAATGCAAGCTTTTTCTTGAAATATTCCCTGCTATAGAACTACATAGACATTGATCAAAATCTATATTATCCAATTTTCTGATTTGTATCATTCTCGCTCTTCTGTCAAACCATAAGTTCCACCGGAAATTTTAGCACATGGTAAAGATGCTATTGCAGCATATAATAAAGCTTCACAGTTTGATTGTCGAAATGTTCGTCGAATTCGCTTTGTAATCTTAAGTAAAGATCAGCTTCCCCGACAAACAATTAGTAAAATCCTGAAAGGTAATACATATCTACATCATATTTATAACTACGTTATTTCTCTGTACAAGTAGCTTAAAAGTTATAAAGTACATGGAACTGTTAAATCTACTAAATATTTATTGTAATTAATTCGTTTGTTTTTAAAATTTTCGCAATGAACAATTTTGATACTTTAGGTCAAGGTAATTTAAGTCCTTTAGTAGAAGAAGGCGGAAAAGATGCTTTGGATAAGAAATATTCGTTTTCCACCATAGAAGGTAACCTATCATGCTGTTATAAATAAAGATGTAAAATAGCTATAATCAATACCTAAAATGATGATGCAGTATTGACACTCAGAAGTCTTGCCCCTTTCGTTGTTTAAATATGCGGTATAGCGAAATTCATCTATAGTACATTCTCAATTATGATTTTATTGTCAATTAAAATAGATGAAATGGAAAAAATTCAAGAACAACTAGATCAAGCATTAGCTAAAAGCATTGTTACCAAATTAGAAAGTATAATCGATAATCAAGATATTGATGAATCTAATATGAATGTCAATGACGAAGATCGTTATATTGACGATCATGATATTTGTGATATTGAAGATGAACCAAGTTATTCTCCTAGCTGGCATTTGTCGAAGGAATTACAAACTTCCGATTCGACCCTGCAAGCTAGTCAACAGCATGAAGCAATATTAAACAGCTTAGCCCCTACAATGAAACAAATTGTATGCAAAATGATTGAAAATTGTGATATTGATAATCATGAAAAAAATAATATCGAAGTTAAGCCCAATGAGGAGATCTTAAAAACTCATGATGTCTGGGATTTAAGTGGACAACCTATACACAATTTATCTTATCGTGTAAGTTAATTGCGATCGCCAAACTTTTGAAACCATCGTTGCACTTCCTATATTTAATCGTTCACTCTAAATCAGAAATTTCCCCTTATTAGCTATTAATTTCCATTTTATTATTATCTGGATAATGTAGATGTTTTGCAACAATAAATCAATCTATATCATCGCTTTCGATTTAACCGAAGATATTGAAGAATCGGTATAGTGTCTAAAATTAAACTTTAGTCGTTTTACAATTGTACTAATTAGAATCGACATTCGTAGTGAACAATTTACTTTTAATTTATTTTTTATTTAAT